GTTGCAGCAGAGCTACGCATCAGGCAATCCCCGAGGTGATGTATCAGAAAACTGTAGGACGCAACCTTATCGGCATTTAATCAAAAGAAGAAGACCGCAGAACCCGCGCACGAGAGAAGAGCCTAGTGAACGGTTGAGCTGGTAAAACCCCTCATACTGGGATTGTATCTAGAATGCAGGTGAACCTGGTTGCGCAGAAGGAGGTTGCCTTCTTCGGAGGTGTGTTTTGCAGCTTTGGATTGGGCCGGTCCGAAAGGTGAAATCCGGGCGGGCAAGACAAGACGGCCACAATCCATCGAGGGGAGGGGCCTCGGGAAGATCAGTGGTAGATCCACTCAGTGCAAGATGGATTTGCCCCCCCTCTCTGCCTCCCCAGATCAATTTGAGCGTGCGACCTGCTGATGGGGTTTAGACAAGTCGACCGCGAGAGGCGTCTGGAGGGGCAATCTTAGTTTATTTTTCCATCCTGAGACTCGGAGGGGGCAGAGATAGATTAGTTGGTGAAATCAAAGTGATGATGACAGTAGTTGGTAGTGGTGGAGGAGGAGAGGAGGAGGAGGATGCTGCTGGCGGGACGGATTGCGCACTCCACTTCCGTCAGGAACTAGGTGGCATTAGTCCGCACACTATTTCCCCCTACATCTCCTGGCACTGCTGGCACTGGCCGCAGTTCAGCACAATCGTCGATAGCGCGTGAACGGGGGAAAACTTGCACTGGCCAGTGCTGCCTAGGCGCGATTTCCCTTCCAGTATTAGTGGAATTCCGCTGGAAATCGGCCTTTTATCCGAGGCCCTTTACTACCTCCTTGTTTTCGGTCTGGAAACGTGAGCCGAATCTCGAAGCTATGAATGACATCTTTGGAATAATATTAAGAAGAAAGAGAGTTTCTAACGGCTAGAGTCTGTTTGAGACTTTCACCTGCTCTTACCTGGTCAGGTTTTGATCTTCCGGTTTAAGCGCCGTCAAATGATTTTGATCTACACACAGGGTCTGATGGATGATACTAGGAAGAAAGCGGCATATTTACCGAAATGCAAAGTTACTACATTGTAGTTCTCATCTTCAATGACTTACTTAGTCACAGCTCGTGTCGGAAGAGACGCATGTACAATTCCTTTTTGCAGCAGCAGTGGGCGAGGGCTCGACCCAGCTGTAAGATTATCATCGCCCCTTGGGTATGTACTTTGGTCCGTGTGTAGGTTCATACTTAGTATCTTCCAGCTGCAGAAAATCTCGACTATGCATTGTGACTGCCGAGATCGATGCGGCCATGTATGCACGCAGATAATTGCTTCTGGACCTTCAGCTCCTCCCGAACAGCTCGGAAGGAGAAAGAAGAAAGAAGAAAGATACTAGCACGTAACCCAGCAGAGAATTGTCGCATCGAATGGAAGATGCAGGAAAAGCATGATCATACTGAGAGTTTCTGCCGATGTTGCCTCCTGTTGGGGCGTACTTTTTCTGCGTGCTGGCTTGCTCTGCGGCTGAGGAGAAACATTCTGCTGCCGATTTACTTCCCGTGACCAGACTCGCCCCATCTGCGGCGATGGACCATAATTTGACAAAGAACGGGTGAGGGGGAAACGAGACGAGTGGCTACAGACAGCACCTCATCCTGCTTTGTCGGGTTCCAGCCAGTCAACGACTTGACCCGACCCAGAACTTAAAGGGAACCTGTCAAAATTGGATTCGGCCAACATGCCCGCGGCATCCCACGGAGATACAACACCCTCGGTAACGTCCGGAAGATGGCATTTGCTGCAGAACGTAAGTAGACGAAAGATAACGTACCAGCAAAATGATTGATGATAACGAAATGTTGAAGAGAAAGGGAAAAAGAAATACTGACTTCAAGAGAGAAATAATCGATAGTAGACCTAGCTGGCGGGTACCCCAATTTGACGAGTATTATAAAGAGTTACAAGAATCAGTTGGTATTTACCAATCAACCCCCCGGAAACCCTCACTGAGGGGGCAGTATTTACATCTAAAATACAAGATACAAATGATGTACCTCATGTGGAATGACTCGATAGTCTCTTGAGGCATAAACCACCACCACTAACTGCACTGGTTACAACAACCCTTGGGGTGGTTCGAATTGATCGAGGGAATTTCCGATCCAATGAGTCAAAAGGACCGATCATTGACAGTAAGTAGTAACCAGCATCAGCTGGATCCCCCAAGTTTCATCAGCGGCGCGATCGGAGAAGATACCAATCAGCTCGTGCTGAACCAAGGTACCAAATGTCGCATCACTGCGCATGGCATTGCATGGCATTGCAGCTCGCCCCTCGTAGCTCTTTTGACAATTCCCGATGCACCTGCACCTACAGGTGTAGTAGGGATTGTAGCAAGGTACTAGGTAAGCAACTAAGGATCCTGGCCTGTGCCGGATCTCATCTACATCTATTCCGCCCGCACTACTTTAGTTCTATCTGCGACATCCTCTCCGGTAGGTAAAGTGTAGTAGTAGATACTACTACTACCTCCTCTTAGGCTGTTATCCAGGCCAGTGTATATTTAGTTTAGTGGGCAGGGTGAATTTGATTTTCCTCTCCGGATCCGTTGCCTCCTTCACAGTCACCTGCTTTCCGAAACAGGCAGTTCGACAGATGCGCCAAGTTCTCGACCCAGTTTAGACTCCTGATCGGAAGGAGAGATCCTCCTTTAGGGCCACTAAGTCGCGCACTAAAGTACGGCGCACTAGGTACGGTAAGGCCAGGAGTGACTAAGGACGAAAGGACTAACTAACTACTACTAGAGAGATCGCCCGCGATGGCGAACGAGGTGCCTACTGTCCCCGCGGTCTGGATTTGTGTTTGTTGGGTGTTTGGGAACGTGGGCATCACCCATCCATGATCTCAGTATCCGTTAATTTCCCTCCTTCAGCGGATTTCCCCCCCTCCCCCTCCCCCCTCCTTTCTTCTTGATCCCAGCAGGAGATTGGGTTTGTTTGATCGGACCATCAATGCCAAATTGGGAGTACCTCCATTGTGCAATTTTTAAGACTAGATCGATCTGAGTTCTAAGTGAGTTGAGGGGCAAATAGAGATACGCGCAACAGGCTAAAAGTAGAAATAAAAATGAATTAGAAAAGTACTAATTCTAGTAAATTAATTTAAAAATTGCAGAGCGAAGTGTGAAAAAGGAAAAAGCAAAGTGCCAGGGGGAGGCGATTGAAGGAGCCGTCAGTTTGACATGGAGCAAGGGAGAACGGAAGAACTTACTTAGTCGTAGTAAGTAGTAGTTTAGTGAAGGATGTATAAGTCAACTGGCACTATTGACGGGATGACAACCAAGCAGCCCAATGAGAACAATGCGTTGCGGAGCAAGACGGGGCAGAAAGGAGGGGCCAAAGGACCCAACTGCAGCAGGAAGACATAAAGAGAAAGAGAGCAAAAGGAAGTAAGCAGGTGACATGAACTGACTGACAAGATATCCCGCGATTAACTACTAGGTACTGATTTAGTCTACCTTGGAGAAAGATGATCCATCAGGTTCCATTATTATTATTATTTTTTTATTATTAATATTATCATGATCTCATTTCTTATTTCATTCTTGCGCAGTGTAAATTTTAGAAGTATTGATACTGTAATATTGTTGACCACATCGATAAGAAGAAGGCAGCGATGGGGGCGCTCTCCAACGATGGTTTTGGGTACCTGATCCATGACTGCCTACCACGGGTTATCGGATAAGTAAGATAGAGAAAGAATAGGAAAGGAAGATAGAAGATAGGAGATCGAATGGTACAAACCAGGCCAGCGCGTGCCATAGCCAGTGCCAGTGGTTACAGAGATAGGTGATCCTTACTTTTCTTCCTCTTTTCGACGCAAAGAAGAGCCAATTGTCTTGCCTCCGGGGTATTTCCCCCTTCCATTCATTTGCCATCGTCTTCCTCCACGGTAATGGCTGGCGTGAATTGCACGCGCACTTTCGCCTTTGGTTGCTTCTCCAAATCATGACCCGGGGATCGACGGAAAAGCTTACTTCAGGGCTCCAACCCAAGACCATGGAAAAAGCGCTCCTGGATTAAACCTGAATGACAGGACCCGAGACAATGGGCGTACCACCAGCAGCAGAAGCAGCTAAAAAGTCCGGCCGAAAGGGGTCCCCACTCAGTTCTTGCCCAATGGGGCCGCATGGCCGATGCCGTTCCCTGGCCATCGTCGATCTCCCATGCGTTCGTTCTCTCTGGCTGGCTTTTTTTCCTTTTTTCCTTTTTCTTTTTCTGATTTTTTCTTTTTCTATTTTTTATTTTTTTTATTTTTTCTTTGCTGGGGAGGCGCACGAGCGTCCGTCGCTATCGCTCATGGAGTACCTTTTCCTGGACCCATCCATTCTTTCTTGCACCATCCAGTGTCCCATATCCACTCTTTTTCAGGGCTCCACTTCTGCCTCCCTCCTGCAGTCACTCACTCACTCACTCACTCACTCACTCACACTCTCTTCCCTCATTGTCCCCCCTCATCCACTCTCATTTCTCTCCTCCATAGAGTCTAAAGCCCCGTAGGCCGGAGCGATGGCGTCTTTCTCCAGCGTGGGTCCCTATCCACACCCACTTCATTCATTCCCTCCGTACTTCCTCTCCTCCTAGCAACCTTAGTGTGTACCTGGGGGGATTTCCCACTGGTCCTTTCTCTCTATTGGGTACTTTGCTCCGGACCCTCTTCCTCTTCCTACATGGAACACAAACCCCCCCGACTACGGAGTACATATATCCTGAGATCCTCCCCGATCATCCTACTATATCATCCCTGATCTTCCTCTTCCTATCTCATCTGTGTATATCATCTACCTTCTCTCTTCTCATAAGGCCTCTCAAGTGTCTTCTCTCTCCGTCCCTCTTTTCATAATTTTCTCTACACGGTTCAACCAGTCATTGAACCTTAAGAGTCCTGAGGCCTTACCTCTCTCTCTCTTCTTCATACTTCAAGATCCTTCTCTCCTTCCCAACTCCAAAACTTACATCTTCAACAAGAAGTAACTGAATATGAAGAACTCAATCCCATCTGACGTGTGGGAGAGGAAGAAGGCTCTGATTGCCAAGTTATACAAGGATGAAGAATGGCCTTTGAAGCAGGTCATCAAGCAAATTCGTTCCGATGATTTCAACCCAAGGTGAGAAGAGGTTCTTGGAAATATCTCAAATGGGTTTCCACCGGTGTGCTAACTCTGCCTCCAAGTGAAACTCAGCTGCGGAGTAGATTGAAGAAGTGGAGGGTCACCAAGCCCTCTCGCCAGACACGCAAGAAATCCGACGACAGCCAACAGGAGACTACCGGAGATGACAGTGGTCAAGAAGATGCATCCCCAAAGGCCCAGTCCTCCACAGTCTCCCCTAAAGCACGCCCCCCTCTTCGCTCAGTCGCATCAGACATCTCTGTCACCGAACCGGAATGGTACATGGCCAATAGTGCATACACGCACCATGAGGACCTGCCTACTACAGTTTGCCTTGATGGACAAAACATTTCCAATGTGTGGGCTCCCATGATGAGCCCTTCCCAGAAGCAGCGGGATCCTTCCCACGCCTCTTCCGTGATGGTCCTTCCTAGCTCCAACTCATATGACTCACCGCACACGTCGCCATTGATGGACAGCATGTTGGCCAACCAAACATCAAGCATGGCGTCGCCTTTCCATGATCCTTCCTTTGCTGTCACCACGGACTGCATGCAAACACCCGCGACAACAGCTGGACCAATTCAGTGGTCAATTCCTCAGTGGTACTCGATGCCTCTTGAGGCTGGCAGTCCATTCTACACTGCGGCACCACTGAGCCCTCCTATCGATCCCGCCATGCACCTGATGACCCCACACGCCCAGACACCGCCGCCTTCTAGTATCGGGCGGCAACATATGGCCGACCTACACGAGGGGCCTCAGTCATGGAAGCGTGCTATGTCTGCTCCATATGTTCAGGATACCGCTGGCGGGCATCCGAGATTGGATCAGAAGGGCTCGCAAACACGGCCGCTTGACCGGAAGGCTTCTATCCAACCGAAGCCGGCTGGTCAACCCGCCGTGGGGATCGTGTCTCCGTCCGCTTTCTATCCCCATGGTCAACATCCTGCTATGTGTGCGCCCCTCTACCCGTACCCTGGACCTGAGCCACTTGTGCACAGGCCTCAGAGCATCGACTTTTAAGCATTACCAGGAGCACGTCGCTTTATTTGTGTGAAACTAATATTTTCTCATACTGGACCCTTGGTTTGCATACATTGGTCTAGTCACCTTGACACATTTTTGAGGTTGATCTATTCTTCTCACTTGTACTTTTTGCATCTCGTCTTTGCTGTTCACTTGAACCCTCACCTTCTCTTTGCTTGGACGCTGGAAAGAAGCGGGGACATTTGAAAATTACATTTTGTACACCAAGGAAACCGGCACTTGGATCATGGGGATACCTGGCGTATTGTGGTTGTGCCGAATCATGGGGTGGAGTGTGCTGATTTTGATGATATCCACGTTTGGGATCAAGGAGTTTGGAATTTTCTGTATTATTTTCCTTTGTCAGTCTATGTGTGCATGGGGTTAATGATGCTTGTACGGGCTATATCATATATATTGATGGCCAGATCGACTGGACGATCGGCCAATGAAGGACTGGTTCCCTCATACATGCCAACTATTTTATTATACAAGGGCGCACACACCGGCCTCCCACATTATTTATATAAAGTCAACTTAACAATATAATCCATTCATCTATCAACCGACGATTTCTGGGCTCATGCTGTAGAGTAAGGCAAAAGTAACTTGCCTAGGTACCGAATTGGGGAGTTTCCTCTGTCAGTTATCCGACGACGGACCTCGGCTCAACCCCCGGTGTGGGGAAAGCTCCCCCCCCCCCTTTGGGTCCCATCGGACCAAATGGATGTGTCCTGACCCCAAATCGAGACCGCAACTCCAACACAATCAATAGCCCCATCCCAAGACAGTCCACTCTCACCCACCCACTCACTCACCGTCTTTCTTTGCACTATTCCAACACTGCGCTTGTCCAGCTTCACCGTAAGAAACAGCACGGCCACCATTCAGTCGTCAGCATGCGAGCCATTCAAGTAAAAGAATATGTCAAGGTCGGTAACAACGAAGTGACCTATACTAGATTTGCCACTGCTCTACCACGGACAGATTGACTTACTCCCACAACACACAGGGGCCTCAGGATCTCCAAGTCGCAACCCTTCCCACGCCTTCCCCATCCGCAACGGAGTACCTGATTGAGATCCACTCCGCAGGTACAAATTTCTTCGACCTGCTTCAAATCCAGGGCAAGTACCAACACCAGCCTCCTCTACCCTGGATTGGGGGCGCAGAGTTCGCAGGTACCATCCTAGCCGTGCCCACCAAAGCGCAGTCCCCGCGATTCAAAGTCGGGGACCGAGTCTTTGGCGCTACACAAGGCGCCTACGCTACCCATATCCTTGCCCCAGAGCACACCCTTCTCCCTGTGCCGGCAGGCTGGAGCTTCGAGGATGCAGCAGGCCTCTTTGTCACGGCTCCCACCTCATACGGTGGTCTTGTGCACCGCGCAAACGTCCAGCCGGGCGACTGGGTCCTCGTGCATGCGGCGGCCGGTGGCGTCGGGCTAGCCGCGGTGCAGATTGCCAAAGCTAAAGGGGCGACGGTGATTGCGACGGCCGGGACGGAGCGGAAGCGACAGATTGCGCGCCAATTCGGGGCGGATCATGTCATTGATTATCGGGAGAAGAGCTGGCCGGAGGAGGTGAAGCGGTTGTGTGCGCAACATCGCTCGGGGAATGGGAAGGCCGGGGTGGACATCGTATATGATCCGGTCGGGATGATCGAGGCGAGCCTGAAGTGTGTGGCGTGGAATGCACGCCTTTTGGTTATTGGCTTTGCAGCGGGAAAGATCGAGAAGGTCGCGCTGAATCGTGTGTTGCTGAAGAATGTCAGTTTGGTTGGATTGCATTGGGGCCAGTATGCACGGTTTGAGAAGGAGACGGTACAGACGGTTTGGAAGGGGATCTTCGATCTTGTGGCGCAGGGCAAGTTCAAGGGTACGGCCTTTAAGGACGAGAGCTTTGTAGGATTGGAGAGCGTGCCTCGCGCGCTGCAGGCGCTGGGTGGCCGGGAGACATGGGGGAAGGTGGTGGTGAAGATTATCGACGATGATGCTGTTGCTGGAAAGAGTAAACTATAGAGTAGATACTGAAGCCTCTGGACTAGGCCCTGGGTAATACGGATTACATTAAGGATTGGAAGTGCATCTCATTCAACAGTAATTAATTCGCATTCAAAGATAACAAGCAGAGTGCATCTATCTAGATCAAAAGATACTATTACGCCAAGTATGTAGGTGCGCAAGGAGTCATGCTCTCGTAGCAAGGTTTAAACGCGAGCAACATGAACTATGAAGGCCCTAAGAAATTTCTCTAGCAACCTGAAAAAAGAAATCAAAACCGGAACCCCGAAGGGTCCCGACAACCCAGCTCCAGTCGGCCACAGTCACAAGACGTGACATGCGATGACTGTTCTCCGAGGTGGAGAGTCCTTGACGGAAGCTCAAGCACTCTGTTTGTCCAGCCCGAAGGCTGTGAACAGAGCTAACAACCTGGGACAGCTGGATTGCAAAGTTGCGATAGGGTGCCAATTCTCTTTCGATATGTGTGTTGGCGGTATTCCGTACATGCAGCACGATGGATCTTCATTACATGAAGCAGAAAAGATGACCTAGCACATTATAAGTCTCAATTGCTGCTGTCCAGCGTATTTGGCACTGCAAGCTGCCGTTGTTGTGGCTCTGACGGTGGGTGAATCGATTATCGGCTGAGCAGATGAAAAACAGAAGAAGCCGGCGCGCACGTGCTTGCTTTTTGTAGGCTCGCTTACTTAGCGATGAGTCATCATTGCCTCGCTTTCTTATCGGCATGTGACTTGATATGGCCGATAAGCATGATAAGGAGCCCATCCATTAACAGACAGCATCGCAACATATGCACCTTTCGCATCAATTCTTGGCTTAGCTTGTCCATGGGTCCCTGATGTGGCTTGCCCGAAATGGATCCTGATTGGATATCGACAAGACACGATACCATTATATCGTGGATGGGACAAGGCCTTGTGAACAAGGATGGTGGTGCCATCGTCCGAGATACCCGTGGAACAATCGACTGCAATCGTTTCCATCGACAATGAACCGGCTTTTCACTTCAGAAGGTGGGAGTGTAAGCATACAGACAGAGGGTTTACCATTGGGAGCCCATATTGCATCAATGCCCCTGAGTATAAGGCAGATGGATCCTTTGACGTTGCCAGTACCAGCTCACGGCAATCGCCGCTACGTCATAGCCATATCAGCGTCATCTTAGTCCAATTGCTCCACCAGAGTTTCCTCTCAGGCCCTGACTACGCTGCGTCTTCACTCGGCTTACCGGTTTTCCGGCTATCCGATAAACAGGCTTGGATTGGGGAGACTTTCAGGGTATAAGAATCCGCTCTATCGCCAGGGATCACCCGGCGCCTCCTTAAGAAACAGCCAAACGCAGCTAGTCTTGACCCCTCTCTCATTCAATGGCTCGTTTTCTCCTGAGACTTACACCCAACCCACCATTTCCCACTTTTTCGCTGCAGCGCCATACATCTCTCACGTCGGTTGCGAGAATGTCTACATCGTCGAAATCTTCCAAGTTCAGTCATCTTCCTCGGGCCTCGTCTGGACCTTTGGTGTGCCCGTTTGAGGTACGGTCTCCTGAGAGAGTTATGCGTAATTTTATTGTTGACGCAGATGTAGGGGAGAGATGCGCTGCAGTCATGCCAGTTCAACAAAGGCTCGGCGTTCACGGAGGAGGAGCGCAGAACATTCAAACTTCATGGTCTGCTTCCTCCCAACATCCAGACCCTCGAGGAGCAGGTTCAGCGGGCGTACGAGCAATATAGCAGTCGAGATAATGATCTGGCCAAGAACACGTTCATGGCTAGTATGAAGGCGCAGAATGAGGTTCTCTACTACAAGGTAACATACATATTGACCTCCCGCGTGTGTTTAGAAAATTCGAAGACGACCAGCGAACTAACGTATATTAAAGTTGATTGATACCCATCTCAAGGAGATGCTTAGCATAATTTACACTCCCACTGAAGGCGATGCAATCCAGAACTATTCTCGACTGTTCCGGAAGCCAGAGGGCTGTTTCCTGAACATCAGGGACCAAGACAGGATTGACGAATGCCTTTCCAACTTCAGTCGCGGCGAGGAAGTCGACTATATAGTCGTCAGCGATGGCGAGGAGGTAAGTTGGACATCAGCATGCACTCCATGTACGACATGTCTAACCAGTCACAGATCTTAGGAATTGGTGACCAAGGCGTTGGCGCCATCTTGATCTCGGTTGCCAAATTGGCCCTTACCACGTTGTGTGCTGGGATACATCCAAGCCGGCAATTGCCGGTGGTCCTAGACTGTGGTACAGATGTATGGCAGCAACAAGTATCAATCAGGCAGGTGCTAATCATCGAATACAGAATGAATCACTTCTCAAGGACGAGCTATACCTGGGCCTGCGACAGTCGCGCGTTAGAGGCGAGGAATATGACCAGTTCGTGGAAAAGTTTGTGGAAACGGCTCGAAAGAGGTTCCCCCGTGCATATATACACTTGTGAGTAGTCAACGTTGCATAGGAACTCTCGCAGCCATCCATCTTGAGCTTTACTGACGTCATTTAGCGAGGACTTTGGCCTTCATAACGCCAAGAGGATCTTGGATAAATTCAAATCGCGTATTCCGTGCTTCAATGACGATATTCAGGGAACTGGGTGTGTCACTTTGGCTGCCCTGTTATCCGGATTCCACGTGGGTGGTATCAAGTTAGAGGATGCTCGTGTAGTCGTCTTCGGATCTGGATCAGCGGGCACTGGCATCGCGGAGCAGCTCGCTGATACCATCGCGACTGAAACACACAAATCTAAAGAAGAAGCCTCGAAGCAGATATGGTATGGAAATGCATCGGGTTGTGGAGTTCCTTCGACCCTACATTTACTGAGTTTCTGAATTTAGGTGTCTCGACAAACCGGGTCTTCTGGTCAAATCTCTTGGAGATCAGCTGACGCCAGCCCAAGTACCCTTTGCGCGAGACGACAAAGAGTGGCCTGATGCAGATTCGCGCGATCTGCTTTCGGTA